CACACTTTATATTACCGTCCCTATCGCTCGCTTGACTCAATTGTCTATCTATCTGCTATCTTATCTCAACTTTATTTGCCGGGCTTATATACAAAAAAGAGGGCGTCTAGAACAGACTAGAGTTGCCAGGAAAAGTCAAGATCCTTCGAGAATCTCATGAAGTGTTACCAGAGTCACGTAATTTCCGCCGTCGTAACAATACCAATCCACGGTCACAGTCTTCTTAGATATGCACAAAGCTTTCGACACCTTTTGGCACTATGCCGTTTAACACAAATAACACTTAATGTGTATTAACAAAACAATGATCAGATGGATATCTAACTTTCTCACAAATCAATCGGCTGTATTTATAACAAACAATATATTGTCTAGACATTTTAACATATCAGCAGGAGTTCCGCAAGGATCAGTCCTTTCGCCACTCCTATGCATACAATATACCATTCCCAGATCTAACCTACACATATTTTGCACAGCATATCAACGACATTGCTGTTGGAGTACACCTCGCAATCCACTAATAACAACAAATCGTGTTCAAAAATCTGTAAACATAATTGCTGACTGATGTAGCGACTAGTGCGTTTTGCTCAATCCAATTAAAACACAATGTACTGTATTCCCCAAAAGTTTAAATAAGTATTTCAAAAACACGAAAAAGTAAAGTAAATATTCAATAATACAGAAATTAAAATTAGCAATACTATTAAATTCGGCCCGGCATGGCCAAGTGGTTAGGGAGCTCGATTCGCACTCTGCGGGTCGCGGGTTCGAAACATGCTCGCCCTTTCAGCCGTGGAGGAGTTGTAACGTTACGGTCAATCCCAATATTCGTTGGTAATAGAGTAGCCCAAGATTTGTAGGTGGGTGATGATAACTAGCTGTTTTTCCTCTAGTTTTACACTGCTAAATTAGGGAAGGCTAGCGCAGATAGCCCTTGTGTATCTTTGCGCGAAATTCAAAACAAACAAACTATTATATTCCTTGGTATCAAATTTGACAGAGGTCTCACTTGGACAACTCAGATAAAAACATTCACGCATCCATTAGCAAATGAATTAACTACATTAGAATCCTTACAGGTAAACATTCAGGCTGTAAAACTAGAGGGATACTAAAATTTATAAAGCTTTCTTGCGCCCATTGATTGAAAACGGATGCCAAATTACATATAACATGTCAGACAATCTTTTCATTAAACTACAAATACAATAAAATAGAGCGGTAAGACTAGCAAAAAGGAATCCCACTTTTACCCCGGTCAGCTACTTAGATAAAGTGAGTAACTTACCATTATTAATGAAAGATTAGGCATGCGCGCTAGAAATTACTATCGCAAAGCCGAAAATAGAAACCCTCTGCCCTCTTCACAATCACAAGTGCACCATACAAACACCTATCACCTTACAACCTTTATCACAAGCAAACTTAAACACAACAACAAACTAACTTGTAGCCACTCGGTCACATCTGAGTCATAATCTAGGTATTTTTAACTAAACATTCATGTTCTATTTTTCAATTTGGGCACAGGACATGTAGATTATTCATCGCTTGTAATGTGAAAGTGTGTTTCTTGGGACACTCTCGTTTTCCCTCACGTGAAAATTCGGGGCATAGGAGTTTAATCTCTCTCCACTACCATGAAAAACCACCCATTTCTTCTTTTTCGTTTAACATATGCGGGAAATGAAGCTTCGAGGTTTTGTAGCACACTCCTATTTCCTAGGTTCGTCGCCCATGATATCCGCTTTACCAGTTTTGCCTCAGCATACTCATTTTGATACTTTTTTCTGCCAACGCAAATCTTTTTACGTCAACAATAAACTAACAACTCTCATCGCAACGAACTAATTAATATCTGGCACTGTAGGTTCAAAGAAAAACCCACGAGCGGGGCGAAGGGGAATAAAATATACTTGAACACCCCAGTTGGAAAGAGTTGACATATTCCTGTTGAAGCCTGCCAGCTCTTCACCTTAACCTAAATCCCTGCCATATTTTAAAGAAAAAAAAGAAAAGAAAAGACTTTTGTATGGATTTTTTATTTTTGTTAAATTTTATAACGGTGTTTCGACAACTGGTAAACTTGTTAAAATTATTATCCAGAGTATAAATCGTAATGACGTTTGAGCCATTTTGCTTTCTATATTAAGAAATAAAGAATAAGGAATCCAAGTTACTTCAGTGTCGTTGTTGGATGATGAAAGTAAGAAAAGTTTTAATTGTATATATATTGTACTAAATGGGCGTAACTTTAAACAGTCTTAACTAAATACAAATGTTTATAAATTGTAAGTTTATCTTTCAAACGCGAAGGAGAACTATAGGATGGACGTAAAGTGTGCTAACAGTGTTCACTACACCTATGCTTTGGCTAGTTGTGGAACTTAAATTTAAAACTCGAGCCTGAGTCTAGCCTCCAGTCCAGGTAAGATTTGTGAAGCATTCTGAAGAATGGTTCAGTTTTAATAATTAATTCTGAAGTTCACTGTACCAAACATTAACACAATGAGACAACAGTACTACTAAAGAGTAACCAAGTTTGGCAGCTTGACGCTAATTTACGTCATATAATTTGGTTACTGCACTCAGTGACATGACAATAATATACTACTAATTAGTATTACTATTAGTAAAAACTATTACAGATAATACTATTTGCTAGTAGTAGTAATAAATACTAATAGGTAAAGCTATAAACAAATATTCAAAGGAAAAACCTAACTTTATAAATTATTGCAAAATATGTTTAATAACACAACACTTGCAAACTGTATTTAATCATAACACTCAATCTTTGAGTTTTATACAATATCCAATTTAAAACTACAAATGTTTGAGCAACTGGCTTGTGCAGTCTTCTGAGTTCAATTATATTTTTCTTTTATGCATTCTTTTATTTGCTGCAAGATGATGAGAATACAATTCTCTGCAGGATGCATATTGGTTATTGATGAAACTTCTGATTAACTTATTTACATAAGGCCATAGCCAATCAATTAACTTGCATAACTCTAGCTACTATGGCAAACTTCAGCACCACCCAGTGTAAGTCATTCTCTCACTGTCTTAACAAGGTGCGAGTTGTCATCATGTATAAATAAACTTAAGAAACGGCCCAACTAAAGTCTAAACCGTAGAGGAAAAGGTACTTCAAATATATACATAAAGATGGTTAACAGAAATGAAGGAATATCACCTCACAAAGCATTTTTATTTGTATTGATGTAAGATAATATTAGATGCTTTAAACTTGGAGTAGTGGTCTGTGCAAAATGTGATATTGTAGATTATAGTTGTTTTTAGTTTTATTCTCTCATTAATTGTTTGTTGTATTTGTGTATGTATTTATGTTTAAAAGCAGTATTTCATACATCAACATTACAGTTTGAAGTACTGTTTATATTCAAATCAAGCTGCTTATTTTGAGTTAATTAGAAACATTATAATCACATGAATAATACATTGATCTTTTGTATTCTGTTATTCACATGCTTTTGAAGTGTTCATTGGGAATTATTCATATTTATTTCTTTATCACTTTTAAGCTATACCATTATATTTGGTGTTTATGCATAAAATAAAATATTAAGCAGGCACATAAATTTTTTGTAGACCTAATATGTACTGTTGAACATGTATCTGTAGAGAAGAATTTTTGAATAATGTTTTTGTTAGTTGACAATTATTTTTCTAATATAATTTGGTTTCTTCATATTTTAGCTGGAATTCAATAGTTTATCACCCAACTCGCACATTGGCAATTTAAATAACAAGATGACAGAAATTTCCTCAGCTGAAAGCCAACAACAGACATTATGTTCTACTACTGCCAAAAATGGAGTAATATTTTCACCTGTCATTCTAGTTCCAAGTCCAAGCCATCTAGTAAAATCTCCTTTGGGAGCTGGTATTCAGTATGTAGTCACAAGCAATCCTGATGATGTCCTGGAATTTAAAACAGAGAATGAATCAACAATGATGAAAGATTCACAGTCTTATACAGATGTTAAACATCACAGTACTCATATTTTTCAAACTCCAGATGAGGCTCTGGAACTTGATGACCATATGGTTTCTGTTCGAGAGATTACTAAAGCATCAAGTCCTACAGAATTGTTTGCAATACAGGAAAGTAATAACATGCATCCAGATTTAAAAAAAGATGTCAGTTTATCTAGATTTCATATTTCCATTGAAAAAACAATTAATTTAAGAAAAGATCAAAGCATAAATGTTAATTTAGAACGATTGTGTGATTCTCCTTTCTTACATAGTAATAGTTTCCCATGCGTTTCTGGAAATGTATCAACAGGTGTTGTTGGTGGAGAGTCGGAGAAGTGCCAAGGCTTAGGACACATATCAGAAGAAGGAGAACAGTATTTGGTCTCCTCGCTTTCAGATCATACTGTTTCTCTCTGTTCTAGATCTAAAGTGTTAGATTTAAGTAGGACTTTCTCTAATGAACAATCTCTTAAAGTTACAAAAGAATATGAAAATGAAACAAGTAAAGAATTTTCTCATGATGACAACACATTGGAGAGAAAAAGTTATGACTGCTTAAAGTTGTTTGATACCAATACTACAAAGGAAGATCTAATGGTAGCCAGTTCTGAAAAAGAACATTATCATCACGTTGAATCTGAAAATAATGAGATAGATCAGAGCACAGTCATGCCTATATGTAAGATTATAGAAGTAGAGAATCAAAATGCAGTTGAGTCAGTGGAGAAAGTCACCAGTAGTGGAAACGCTAATGTACGAATGAATTCTACTTCTGTATCAGAAGTTACTCTTCCTTTCAATATTATTGGAAGTAGCTTGTTTCCTCTTCTTCCAACTGAAGCTGTATTATTACATAATTTTGCAGTCATTCCTGAAACAGCAACTAGTTTTGAACTTGAGGTTAGTATAGAAGTAAAATTCACATAATGTTAGCATTTCTGAAACCACTTGTTTATTTTGTTTAGTGCAAGAACACCAGTCCCAAAGAAGAACTAAGAAAAAAAAGCTTTATGATATCTTTCCGGTGTCGTTACCACCATTCATAATTTAACTTTCTAGGATACCTTTTCACACATAAAGCTATCTTTACCGTGTGTCTGCCTTAGAGATCTGCATGCCACTAGCCTTTTGGTAACTCCCACCTAATCTCATGAGTTTTCTCGTGAATTGCACTACTGCATCATGGTGTTATTATATGGCAAAAGTCCTCCTTTAAAGTTGTCCAGGAATGGTAAACAAAATGGATTAGGGTTAGGATTAAGAAGTGGGGAACAAGAAAAATAGTGCATAACAGAGAAAATAAGTCCTGACAATGTGAGAAAGTTTATTCTATTCAACAGGGAGAGAAGTTCCCAAAGCCTGACCAGGATATAGAAAAAATGAAATTCATCCTTTTCATTCTCTCCACAAATGAGGGGAGGGAATGCCTGATAAAGACTGGAATTGAAGGTCTTGGCTACAAAAGGCAACCCACTACCCTAATCACAATTACCACCATGTCATCCTCATAAGCTATAATTGTTGCATTACTTGTGTGAGGAAATCAGTCACTCATTCAAGTACGAAAAGATATTACATGAACTAGTGTTCATAGATTTAAGGAAAGAATGAAAGTAAACTCCCTAAACATCACAAATCTCATTAAGTTGACAAAAACATGTCTGATGGGTTCAGTGCCGAGGAAAGAAATGAGAATTCACGAGTGCAGAAGCATAGAGGGAGTTAGTGTGCAGAGAGGTTGTGTCACCATCCTATCCATTTCATAAAGCCTTTCCCTCCCCATCTATCTGCTTTTTATATTCTCGATTTTAGTCATTCTGCATCCCCTCCCCTTTCACAATTCTCATGTTTGGTATCCTTACCTGTCTGGGGGATGTGGACTATTTGGCATTGGTTTCACCCTCCAGTGCATAATACTCTTGTTTTCTCCTGATCTTTTTACCACACTTTTTTCCTCTTCCCTCTACACCTCAAGTCTGAGGCACTCCACCGCGCCACAGAGAAATTTCTGGGTGATTTTCATTCCATTCACTGTAGCCGTACCATTTCTACCATTTCCTGCTCATTTGCCTCTTTGTTACTGGGTTATTTGGTTGGGATACTCTACTATCCCAAATTCAACTTCTTTCTTCCCTTCTACAAGCCCTTTGCCTAGCCCTTTTCATTGCTCTGAAGTTGGTGTTATTCCTTATTTGATTGCATCATTAGCTGAGGCTGCCCATCATCAATCCTTGCTTTCGTATGTTGTTCCCACTATCACCAACGCTACCTTCTACCATTGTGCCTTGTCTTTTAATTCCCAACTTCCTCTTCTACCCGGTGTCAAACTCGACAAGCTTGTCGGTGATGTTTCCATCCTGTCAGATCCCATGGGTACCTGTCTGTCCTGGTTTGAGCTTTTGTGGTCACACTTTTCTGTCTACACTTTATTGTTTACTCTTTACTCACAGGCTTTCTAGTTCCCTACCCTTCCTCCTTTCAGCCCTCATCTTGTTTCTTCTTTCACTTTCATCTATGTCTAATATCATCTGGAGGCTGTGTAGTGACCACTTCCAACAATTCCTCACAACCACTCAATATCTTACTTACCAGGGTGTGTGTGTGTTTCTCAACTTATTCTCAGCTCGGATCAGCCTTCTCCCATCTGCCTGTGAGCTATGGAACTTACACTCACCAGGTTTCATGCCTATTCTACTCATTCTGCTTGAGAGGTTTAGTGTTTGGTGACCATAGCTTCATGGGGAGTGTTTAACCCAAAGGAGATCACATGCATGCACAGATGACTGTCCAGTCAAGTTGAAATGTGCAATCTAACTATTACATACTTTATGACATGAATTTCTGTGTCCTCCTCCTGCAGCTGGTGTCAGTCCCAGAGTCTGATGGTAGAATTAAGATGAGCACCAACTAATAATTTTTGTGCCCTCTTCCTGCAGCTAGAGTCTGTCCAGTAATGTCTGATGGTACAGTTGAGGCATGCACTAAGTACGGTTTGAATGCACCTCAACCAGGTTACACATGGTGACTTTCCAACCTTTTGTGTGCAAGTTCTTGCTCCGTGTGTCATGTCATATCCATGACACGTGGAGCTTGGTTGCCTCTTCCTTCCTTCCTTCTATTCTGAGAAAAGAGTGTATCCTGGAGAAGATGAGATGAGGTCTCACAAGGGTGTGCCTCTGTGTGGCCTCTGCCATCTGGTGTCACACTACATGGGTTTCCTTGGGGCACTTTCTGAAGGGAGCTTATCTAGGTAAACTTTGCACTAGTCCTTTCATGGTGTTCTAGCTTTCAGTGGGAGAGGTGTGTATTGTCTCAGAAGTTAACATTTTCCTTAGTTGAAAATGTATTGGAAATAGATACTCACCTCCTTACACACTTCTCACTTCCCACCCTCTTCCCCCACCCATAGAGGGAGTTAGTTTGCAGGGCAGTTGTTTTGCCCTCCTTTCACTGTATGAACATGGGATTCTAGCTTTCTGTGTGAAAAGGTGTTATTATACCTGAAAATGTATTTCCTATAGATACTCACCTCTTAACACACTTCCTACCCATTTCTGGTGCAGTTGCCCCATCAAGAATGAAAATTCACGAGTGCAAAAGCATAGTGAGAGTCATTTTACAGGGAGGTTATGTTGCCCTCCTATTGGTGGAGGGCTTTTGCTGATAATAACATCAGTAGTGCAAGTCTCATGGAATCTTGCGAGTTTAGGTGTAAGTTGCCTAAAGGCTAGTGGCATGCAGTTCTCTAAGGCACTCGTGGGGAAGATAGCTTTCTACGTGAAGAGGTATCTATTGAAAATACATTTTCAGGTAAGGAAAATGTTAACTTTTGATCAGTATGTTTTGTAAATGATGCATAAAATGTCATTTGAAGGAACTATTTAACAGTTTTAAGAATTAATGTTTAAAAGTTTATAATAGTATCATTAGTGATATATATTTTTTATTGCGTTAAAAACTACATGAAATATATTATTTTAAGCCTACTTTAAACTACATGAAATATATTATTTTAAGCCTACTTTAAACTACATGAAATATATTATTTTAAGCCTACTTTTTATTCAGAAACTTGTCAGTTCTCCCCTTAATCTCCGGTAAGAAGCTGGCTTCTATTATTGACAGTAACCAATCGTCATCAAATAAAACTTTTAACTCTTTGACCACAGCTTGTATCCACCAAAGGAGAACAGTCATACTATAACTTTTGATAATATAAGTGTATCTTCATGAAATTTTGCAGGTTATCAGTCAATGTTACAAGGTGTTCATACACAAAACATCAGATTTTATAAATTGTAAAGATCTTTTTTAATTAAAGATTTGCTCATGAATTTTTTCTTTTTTTGTAATGTTGACTATCTAATATGCAAAGTAGTTTTGACTTTAAGATTAAAAATAGCTTTTCTTCATCTGAAGATTGACATATTTCGAATGTTTCGAAATGCACTAATTCCATCTTCAGCGAAATCTGAAAATCATGTTACAAAGATGATTATTAACTAAAATTTAATATAATATCATAATAACTTGTTTACTTAGTTAAATGGATGGATAAAACAGTTGAGTTTAAGTGTGAAAATTTAGAACAATTTCATCCCAGATTTTCTCCTCCATTATGAGCCAGAATTTAGTTTTTATGACTTAAACATCTACAGCTATACAATGATGACTATTTCTCTAATGTTTCCCACTTCAACACTTGTTACCACATTTTAATTGGAGGTGAACTTTAAGTGTAAAAGGACATTCACTCTATTTGGTTTCCTAACCATGTGGAATATAAGATCCTCCTGAATCATTTCAAGGAATTTCTCTCCCTTGTGAACTTATTATTTTTGTAATTACAGCTGAGTGATTAACTTGATTAATCAGCATAATTGATCATCTGATTATCAATGAGTGCATTCATTAGTGTCGTGTAAAATAATCAATAAATCAAAATTATTGTTTCAGATTATTACTATATTTTAATATTCCAAATAACCAAGTCTGATGTCAGAATAATTGACTGTTGTTAATTAATCAAACATCAAATTTTACTATCCGCCTCACTTTATTAGTAAGTAATACCCCTGATCTCATTTACAATTTCTCATTGATAGCATTTGTCTAATCATATGTCCTATAACAAATACTAATAAACAAAGATTTTTCCCTTCTAACCGATATAGATGAAAAAAATTTACATCTTCAGTACCATCAACTTCAGCTCATCCTTTATATAAACACCTTTTAAGAAGTCTATCACTGTTAAATTAACTATATCATGGAATTTCCGAATAATTCCAGTTATCATTGTTCTCCAGTTCTATACAAGTGCCAGTAGGAAGAGGGGGGGTGCTTGGCTAGACACGCTGATTTTACAGTAAGGGATTGAAGATATAAGGACCTGCTAAAAGTAACTCCTGTGCTGCCAAAGGCAGTTCAATCTATGGAGGCCAAAAACTAATATAATAATATAATTTACAGTTTCTATATAAGTCAAATATGTAAAAGTGGGGGTGCTACATCATCCTTGGTTTGAATGCCTCTCTTACATCCTAGTTTTCTATTTGAATTTGAACTCTGAACTCATCCATTTCAGTCCTAATACTCTTAACATTAGAATAATAACAGTTGAGCTTCTTCTTGAAACTTCTGTTTAATAAACTTGTGTTTAAAATTGTTTGACTTATGTCCTAAATAATGTTTTTCAATTTCTTCTTTACCATATCTATGTTATTAGTTTGTGTATTCTCAAACTCCCCCACCACTATGCAAGTTTCATATGTACTTTTACATTTGTTTAAACTATACAATTTATTGTGTTTGTTAGCCACCATTTCAATTGTGTTACTGGTTGTCTAATTTTTTTTCAGTGTTTATCGTTGTTTGCTCATTGTAATATAGTAACAACTAAAGACGTTTTAAAGTAGATTTTACAGTGTGTTACTAACACAGTATAAAATCTACCTCGAAACTTCTTTTACTGACTAGTTATTGTTAATTTGTTTCTTACTTTTTTTCTTTTTACTTATCCATTTGAAAAGTAATTACATTTGTTATTAGTATTAAAACATATGATACAATAAAGATATTTAATAGTATTAATTGAGGAATTCTTAATTATTTTTACATTAATAGATTAAGAGTGATGAAGAAATTTTGAAGAAGTTTCATATGAATCCAAAGCTAAGGTCCAGTACATTAGAGATGGTACATGAATGTAGCCCTCAACAAGGTGAATGAAAAGTTTGTTTTTATCAATACCTCTTGTCAACATTTTGTATATCATGTAAATCAGTATAAACGAATTACATGTATTTTAATAGCAAAAAAAAGAAGAAGCGAGAAAATGCTGGATCTTTAAATTATTTAAATTGGAATCCTATCATTGAGGAGAAAACGATACATAAGCTTTAACTGTAGAAGTACTGATGGAGCCCCTAAAATCGGCATTTTGAACATTTTTCCGAGCTGTGAGGGATAGAAATAATGAAGTAAAATTACATTCCCTCGTGTAAAGTTGCATTTCCTCATGAATTGTTTTTTTTGTTGTTTAATCCATGCAGTATGTTCACTTTCATTTGTCATAACAAAAGGAATACAGATGGATCATGCATTCCCAATCAGGAAAGCCAACTAAAAAAATCAAATTCCTCAAGTAAAGCTAAACTCCTCAGGAATATGGGAATGTAATATTTTGATCTCTGGCTGCTTATACACTTAATGTCTTGTAGGCCTATGAATTTGTCGGTTACAATGTCCATAATAACATGAGTCACACATAAAAAAAGTGTAAATGAAAATACCATCAGCATTGCATTTAATCCCACTAATTATTACTGGGGTTCCATTTGTAGGAAGTGGGTGATGTTATTGCCCAATATGATGAAATATGTTGACCTCACAGAAAACTGTATTAAAAACTAGAGTGTAATTTGATGAATAAACTTTATTTTGATAGTGTTTTTCTAAAGATGATGATGATGAGATACACAAGTTATTTTAAATGTTGGAGTTCTTCTTAGATAATATGATTATAATTTAGAATTAAGTGTTTAAATTAATCCATATAATCAGTTACCTATGAGCATTGACTGCATTGATTAGTGTAAAGTAATTAGTTAATCAAAATTATGATTATTACTATTTTTGATTATTTCATCTATCCAGTAATTGAAATATTGCTTTTCCATTTATATTTTGGATTAAATCAACTTTGTTCCACTTCATTGATTAGTGTTATGACTCAAGAAAATCATCATCTAATCAAAACTGATTTCTTATCATTGCTATAAAGTAATTGAAATATTGCCATTATATTTCTTGGTTGTTAAGTGCAAAGCTTCACAGATTCACAGAGCTGCTCACTGCAGGAATTGAAACCAGATTTGTAGTATTATTAGTTTGTTTTTTTTTTTAGTTATCTTATGACAATAATCTGTTAGTTGAATGTAATTGATGAGCTCAAGAATTAATTGATTAGCAAATTGCCCAATTGTAAACACAGAACACTATTTGAACTGTCTCAAAAGTCAACACTAATTCAGTTGTTGGAAGACTTTAATATCATGACAATAATATTCTTTAATGAATAATACTGTTTTGTTACTTTATTGCTTTTATAACATGTTTGAAATTAGGGTGTACTGCACTTCAAAGCTATAACTGTTGCTTAAATTGCTTTTCCTTTTATTCATTTGTTTTAAACCTTCGTTTTTTGCCACTGATAATTTAAAATGACTCGGTTTCTTATTTCTGTATTTTCTTTAGTAATTAGTGCCAGTTTTCCTTGATTAATTGGCTTATTGGTGGTTAATTGTTGCATCCATAACATGGACTATCATATGATCATTAAGATTTGTATGTTTGCTTCTGATGCTACAGTGATTGGTGAGGTTGATTCTATAGAAAATGCTTCCTTGGACGGTCTTGTTGAATGAGCTGATTTGGGGAAAATTAATTTCACAATAGATTAATGTAAAGTGTTGCATTTAAAGTACAAAAATTTAAAAACACTTGATTTGTGGGGGTGGGGGTAAAAAATATTGACATAAAAGTTATAGGCCATCTAGGCTGTTGAAATGGGGAGGGACTTAAAAAGGATTTGAATGTGATTGATAAAATTCTCAAGCATGTAACTGAATATTTAGAAGTGGTAGAAAGAACATGTAGGGTTCTCGGAGTTATTTATAGTAGTTATATTCTGTTTAGTTTGGTCCGCTGCACAGTTTAAATAGTAACGTGTCATCATATATTGTCACAGATATCACTCTAACATTAGACAGAAGTGGCTTAATGAGTTCTCCTTGGACAAAAACATTGTTAAGGAGAATTGGAGAAAGATAAGGCATGTTTTACTATGGCTACGTTTTTCATAAAAAAAATTTTCTATCACAGTAGTTCAAGTCAATAGCTAGTGTTTCTGTGTTCCTTAACCTGTTCCTTTCCCCTTTTTTTTCCTAAATATGTTCCAAAAAATATTATATTTTTGAATTAATTTGTTTGAAAATATGCATATAGGCAAAGTGAAATAAAAAATATTATCTAATAGTTTATCAATTTTATTATGTGAAAAGTATAATAAAGCGATTGTTATAAATGCAAGATATATCGTGAAATATAGAAAAGCCTAAAGAAAGTAATATATCTAGGTTTATTTGCAGGAAATACCTGATACAAGCAGAAAACAATTACAGATCTATAAAAAAAATAACTAAAAAGACCATTTGTCAGAAAAATATAACATATTGAACTTGATGTTTGTTTTAGTATGGTAGATTAGGAAGCAAGGTGTGACACACAGTGGTACATCACAGTCAGGATAAAAAAATACCTGCTTTCTCTTCCCATTAGGACCTCGTTTTCTTATCAGAAGCAGGCTATAAAAAAATACCTGCTTGTGCTGCCATCTATTGAAGTATGGAATTAGTATAAAATGGAATTTCAGTCTCACATAAAGTGTACTCAGGTGCAAAACTTTCATTATTTATTTATTATTTATTTATTGTTACTTTCATTAACAGGTTATGTTATTAAGAATATTGTCATTATTTTTATTATTATACTTTTATCATAGACATTTTTTTTTTTGGCACTGTTAGCGTAATATATGTCTTTAAAACTAACCTAAATCTCCTCGTGAAATGTTATAGCAATTATGGATGAAAATATCTATAACAGTGAGGGTAACCAACTGATGAAACAATGCATTCCAATTTTTATAGCTTGAAACATAATGTACATTTAATTAGCTATACTGCTCTTTAGTCTTGCCGTACGTACACAGCTTGCTCTGATCAGAAGTTGATATTAATTAATAAAAACAACTAAGTATCAAAGACTGAAAGATTAACGCTATGAAAAGAGACATGAAGATTTTGAGCTGGTTTTCTCTGGAGTGTAGAAGAATTGTAGATAATCTAATTCAAGTGTTTAAAATCATTAGGGGAATGGATAAACTGGGAGGTTGTTAGTAATGGAGGTTGGGGATGATTTCAAAGATTTTAGAGAAATAAGTATAAGATATTGAAAGTAAGGTCCAGGCTAGTTATTGCACAAAAATTTAGAACTGTTGAGTTGTAAACTGGTTTCTAAAATGATGATATGTGTATTAAACATTTGACCTTTAACTTTTCATTGGAAAATTTTATTTATGTGAGTAGTTACCCCTAGGATAGGTTAATTGCTTTGTTGAGTGATATTGTTAGGCTTAATGGCCTTCTAGTGCCTAATATTTTTGATATTCTTACACTGTTTTTAGCTTCATATTTTAACACGTAATGCATACCTCGGGGAAGCAAAATTTCCTGATATATTCCCGATTTCTACAGGATGTTAACTACGTAATTTGAACACTGAAATAGAGCATTTAGTACTAAAATGGAACAGCAAAAATTATTTTCAAGGGTGTTTTTATTTAATTTTTGGCATAAATACTCACAATTTTATGATCGTATGAAAACTGCAATTTTGGCTACATTTTCCAGAAAAGTGCACCCTTTTCCAGGCCGTTTTTCTATTTATTTTCTCGTTCTTTTGCTTTTTCATTCTTTCTTTCATGAAAATAAATGACAATTCTTTTACAATTTTGTTGTTTTTTGGGATCAATACTTATGTTGACCTTCGTAGAACAAGTACAGAATTCATAATGCAACACCTCCTTGGGCTCCTCCTTCAGCTGCTTGCCTTTCCTTCGTAGAACAAGTACAGAATTCATAATGCAACACCTCCTTGGGCTCCTCCTTCAGCTGCTTGCCTTTCCTTCGTAGAACAAGTACAGAATTCATAATGC